CCCCAAAACCCCAAAACCCCAAAACCCCAAAACCCCAAAACCCCTAGTATAAATACCTCTGCTGAGGTATTTTCATAATATTAAAAATAAAATTTAAATCATGGGTTGTGGAAGTTCAACTGGATCAGATGGAAAAATCTGCATGAAAAAAACTAAGCTACCAGCTGTAGATGAGTTCTTTGATGATGTTCAAGGATTGTGTGACGAAGTCTATTCAATCCAAGACCCCATTGAGGAAGCAGAACAGAAGCTCTTATGGGATGCTGACTTTAAGGATACAGATGGAGCAAATGTTAAACATGCCGTTGTTGGAATTGTATTTAATGTAGCAGCGAAGGGAAACTTAGACAACATTGACAGATTTGTAAAGATAACAGATAAGGCTCCATTTATTGCTCTTGATGCTAGCTCTGCAGCTTCTGATGTCAAAAATTGCATTGATGCAGCCAACAACTACATCAATAGTGTCATTTCAGCTAAAGACAAAATAGAACCTCTGTGTGACAAAGCGAAGGATTTTGCCGAGAAAGCTCCAGAGCTCCCAGGAAAAGCTAAGGACGAACTTGGAAAGGCAGCTGGACTAGGTACCATGGACAAAATCAGAGCAGTTAGGAACTGCACTGGTAATGTAAGAGCTATCGCTAAGCTTCCTACAGTTGTCACTGGTCTTAAAGATTGTGTAATGGAGTCCATTTCTAACATCCAAGGTGCAGTCAAAGAGATTAATGCTAAGAAGGCTAAGCTCAATGACATCGGTAAAAAGTGCAGCAGCAAGGGTCTTGAGACTCCAATGGCTTGCTACCAAGAATGTGGAGATCCAATTGCTAAGACAGGCAAAAAACCCGGAGCCAAAGGAGGAAAGAAGCCAAAGAAATAAGACATCTTTCATTTAAATTTTATTCTGAATTACATCTTATGTTGAATAGATAGAGTTCATTAGAGGGAACATTTATTCTGAATTCAACTTGAAAATTGAGTGTCGGGGTTTTGGGGTTTTGGGGTTTTGGGGTTTTGGGGTTTTGGGGTTTTGGGGTTTTGGGG